GAGAAGCAACCTAGAACTAAGGAGAAACTTCCTGACAGAACAATTAACCAATGGAACAACCTGCCTCCAGAAGCGGTGAATGCTCCAACACTGGAAGTTTTTAAGAAGAGACTGGACAGCCATTTGTCCAAAATGGTTTAGGGTTTCCTGCCTGACCAGGGGGTTGGACTAGATGATCTCCAAGGTCCCTTCCAACTTTATTAATATTATTAATATATAGTATATATATATTACAGTATACACAGTGGTTGGATTCAGCTGGTTCGCACCACTTTGGCAGAACTGGTAGTTAATTTTTTGTTGCCCAGGCCCAGAATGGACTTCCAGAAGTGGCAGCTAGACAAAGAACCAATTGTTCACATATTTGAATTTCCACCACTGAGTATATACAGTATATATTTAAATCTGGTTCTCCAATCAAGTAATATTCTTTTCAGCCAAGGCTAATCTGTTTTATTTTTACTCCTACTCCTTTTTATATCTAGGCCAGTCTTTTTCCAGCACCAGTGTTCTTTCATCAAAACTTAATGTCAGCTGGATTTCCAGCTTGCAGTTTGCGACTTGCTTGCCCTCGGTTGCTGTAAGAACGGGGGGGGGGGGATTTTGACATTTGGGGTGGGGAAGTGAGCTGGTGTGAAGTGTGCCTGTGAGAAATGGAAGGGAGGATCGCTACCCATCAATGGAGTGGAGTTGTTTAGACTTTACCAAGGCCCGTCCTAGGCCTCCGGAGGAATACACTATCTGTGAAGAGGGTTTTTCATAACATCACATTGGATGTTGATTGGCCTGCCGGGGCTGAACCCTGGGGGAGAGATTTGGGAAGACTTTCAATGTGTAACTTTTGCACAGATTTTACTCAGATCTTGCCTTGCTTTTGCTATCAGTTCATTCTTAGTAAATGTACCTCTTTTCTAAAAAGTTGGGGGTTTTCTTTTTTAGAACTTGAACGGAGGCAGACCATTCAAACATATATTAAGTCCATTCAATCATTACGGTAATTATAACAGTGCTATAGGGTTGAATTGGCTCACACAAACCACTGATATATCTTTTTAAAAAAGGAAGACAAAGATAATAGCACATTTTGCAACAATTACCTTTATTTTATAATTATTCTACAGTTCATATTTCATTATAACTTGATAAATTCTAATTAAATTACTTGTAGATATTAATTAATTAATCTATCTATCATTGAAGCAATTATTTGTATAGACCTGCTACTATTTTAACTAGGAGATGGGAATCATGCTATAATAATAATAATAATAGTAAAGTTGGAAGGGACCTTGGAGGTCATCTAGTTCAACCCCCTGCTCAGCGGGAAACCCTATACCATCTCGGACAAATGGCTGTCCAGTCTCTTCTTAAAAACTTCCAGTGTTGGAGCATTCATCGTTTCTGGAGGCAGGTTGTTCCACTGGTTAATTGTTCTAACTGTCAGGAAGTTTCTCCTTAGTTCTAGGTTGCTTCTCTCCTTGCTTAGTTTCCACCTGTTGCTTCTTGTCCTGCCTTCAGATGCCTTGGAAAATAGCTCGATTCCCTCTTCTTTGTGGCCGCCCCTGAGATGTTGGAACACTGCTATCATGTCCCCCCTCGTCCTTCTCTTCATTAAACTAGACATACCCAATTCCAGCAGCCTTTCCTTATATGCTTTAGCCTCCAGTCCCCTAATCATCCTTGTTGCTCTTCTCTGTACTCTTTCTAGAGTCTCAACATCTTTTTTACATTGCTGTGACCAAAACTGGATGCAGTATTCCAAGTGTGGCCTTACCAAGGCATTGTAAAGTGGTATTAATACTTCACGTGATCTTGATTCCATCCCTCTGTTAATGCAGCCTAGCATTGTGTTGGCCTTTTTGGCAGCTGCCGCACACTGCTGGCTCATATTTAAGTGATTGTCTACTAGGACTCCGAGGTCCCTCTCACAGTTACTACTATTGAGCATGGTGCCACCTATGCTGTACTTGTGCATTTGGTTTTTCTTGCCTAAATGTAGAACCTTGCTTTTTTCACCATTGAATTTCATTTTGTTAGTTAGTGCCCAGTGTTCACGTCTGTCCAGATCCTTCTGTATCTTAAGCCTGTCTTCTGGAGTGTTGGCTATTCCTGCCAGCTTGGTGTCATCTGCAAATTTGATGAGTTCCCCATCTATCCCCTTGTTCAAATCGTTGATGAAGATGTTGAAGAGCACTGGGCCCAGAACAGAGCCCTGGGGCACCCCACTACACACTTCCCTCCATGTAGATGAGGTTCCATTGAGGACCCCACACTGAGTATGGCCGGTCAGCCAGCTATGGATCCATCTGGTGGTGATGCTGTCTACCCCACATTTTTCTATCTTGTCAAGTAGTAGGTTGTGATCTACTTTATCAAATGCTTTAAAATACGATAGCTTTAAAGGAAAAAAAGTTCTCAAATGGGAAAGTAGGTAAAGAGTCTTGAGTTCTGAAAACACACAGGAAAACCTTTAAAATACTGATAAGGGACTTTGAAGAGAATCTGTTTCCTTTTTATTTTTTCCAACCCAATCAGAAGAAAAAATATAAGACGGTTCAAGACTTTGCCTTTCTGTCTGTCACTAGGATAAGTCTCCAAAACCTGAACAGAATGAGACCAAATTTGGTATGGTGGGAAAAAATGAAAAACAGGATTGGGTCTAAAAATGAAGTGGATCCAACTTGGGTCTTCAGAGTTTAATTTTCCCACTGCATCTTTATGAGAAAGGCAGAGTGTCCCCTAATCTAAGTCCACCCCAGTCATCACAGCTTAAGCAGAGCTATTTTTAAGGGGTTGCAAAGCGTTCTAGAAATCTTGCTGAGCATGCTTTCTTCTTTTTGTTTTAGGTATCCTAGAAAGCTTCTGCATCAGGTGCTCCAGTTGTCAGAAACTGCACATCATTATGACCATTTTCTCCAGAAATAGAGCACAACAAAAAAAAAAGTATGCTAATGGAGATTTCAGTGAGTTGCTCAAGCTCAAAGATAAATGGTTCATTATGGATCTCCAAGCTTTTTGAAGATAATTTTAAAGAAGGCACTATATAACTCTCACCTCCCTCACAATTTCACTTCTACAAAGCAAAATAGGAAAGGTTCTAGATGAGTTATCATTGCTACATACATTTGCATTATTTCCAGTAACAATTCCTGAACTGCAGTGTAAACCTTAGGAGCCAAAATCACACAATGAGCATAAATACATATTCAGAGAGTGGAAACATGGTATAATTTAGCAAAAGGTTTGCCTGTCAAAAGCCACTGTTAGTCAAACTAAAGGCAGAGGGATTTGATCAACTATATAGAAGCTCCAACTCAAATCAGTTTAAATTTTATCCCACCAAGTCTTACTGAGCAACTTCTGTGGAATGTCTGTAAGAATATTACAGCTACAGTCTTTTAAAGACAACAGCCTAAAGCCATAATTTAAAGTGCTCCATTAAATGGTTCAGTAGTGTTTTTTCTAGCAAGTTTTTTTTTTTAAAAAATGGCATCCTTGCACATCACAAATTGCTAACCAGTTCTCAACAGGCACTACACAAATGTTTCAGAATTTCAGAAATTGTTTGTCATGCAGAGTAAGAGATTGCTATTCTGTGAACAATAAATAAACAAACCAAATTGTACATTGCTATTCCACGGGCCTTTTGGATTGCACCCTAAATCTTCAAAGCCATATATTTTGTTTTTCACTTTGTTGTATGGCACCCAGGGTCACCTGATTGTAAAATGGGCAGCTGTATAAATGTGACAAATAAATAAATATGTTTAGAAAGTACATGCTTCTAAGGTTATAAAATTTATTACTGTGTTAATATTTTTATAGCAGTAACCCAAAACGTGATCCTACATTCACTGCTTTGCTACAGTCAAATGGTAAAAGACAAATAACAGTATGACTACAGATTTATCTCATCACCTTAGTTTAATATTTCTCCTCTAATCCTTTAACCAAGAAAATATATTGAAATTCTGAATAATAGTATAAACATACATAACATATTACCTTTCAGTGTAAGCAATGTTATGCAGAGTACAGAAAGGAAGGAAAGCATGAGATAGGAAAGGAAAAGGAAAAATAATCTAAACTCAGTTTACAACAACACCAATTACCAGACCTCTTGATACCTCACAGGACTGATACTGTGATGGAGAGAATACGATATAGTGTATGTTCATTTGATCTTTTGTAGGGGATGGTGGGATACAGATAACAAGTAAATATTTTAGAGAGCTATAAGCTATTCTGAAAAAAAAAACTTTGAAGGCCATTTCACTGTTTATGAAACATACAAAGAAATAAATAGTAATTTGACCAACGTGATATAGATAACTCTGCAGTTTAGATCAGTAAGGGCTTCTGAACAATTTGATACTTCATATACCTTTAGGCAGACAGCAAAAAATAAGTATTATGAAATCCCCGATAGCTGATCGGCAGCGTTTTGTATCTTACAAGATATATATGTCCAATGCAGAAGAATATTGATAATACAAGTGGTCCTTGCTTAAGAACACCGATTCAATGACTGTTTGAACTTACAGTGGTACTGAACATCTTGTACTTTTGACTAATTCTTGTACTTACAACAGTGTCCCCCTGGTCATATGATCCAGGCACACCCAGCTTCCTTCTTTGCTCGCTTTCTACAAGCAAAGTCAATGGGGAAGCCAGAAAGAAGTTGCATATGGCAATCAGAAGTACCAGAATTTCCATCACTAAGCAGTGTGGTCATGTGATATTGCACTTTACAATTATGTTGCTTAGCAATGGAAATTCCAGTCCCAATTACCATCAATAATTGACGACTACCTGTTATCTATTAACTGTCACCATCTCTTTAAATAATGGAAGAATGGGAACAATTTGTTATTAAATATCACATTATAAAAACATATTATTGCTATTTCTTATAATGCCTAAAGAATGATTTTAAATTCTATGGCACCAAGAAAGTAGAAGGGAAGAAACTGTCAAGCAGTTTAGCTATCAGAGCTCACCTTAGGCACCCAGTGGCATTGCGCAGCACCTGTGATGAATGAAGTTGAATTTTGTGGTCATCCTGAAGGGGGGAATTTTCCCACCCAGAATGAGGAATGATCACTGCATTGGTCAACACTGCTAGAGCATCCTGGATAATTGGCATTTTCAGTGCATCACAAGAAGACAGATTCCAGAGAACTCCTAAAATGAAGGAAGCAAAGAATTGACATTTCTTCTAAAATCAGAATGAAGTGATACTGCACAAAAACAACACTACCTGAACGTTCATATGTGAGTCTTCAAATGTTCACTGCTTTCTACAGCAACCAGGGCATCACATAAATATATACATATCACAGTCATCATCAAGGTTCAGTTATTTAATTCATTCCATTATTTCATTTAATGTAGTCATATCCTGTATTCCCATCTGATCTCCTAACTATGCTGGACCAGACTGAGACTTCATAGGTCTTGTAGGTCTCCACAAGAATGTTACAACATGTCCTCAAACTTCATTCTGCAATCATTGCTCAATGCAAGTGTCACAACTGTCTTGAGGTGGTATAGCTTTCTGGCTTCCCAATATCAGAGGACTAGTACTATTACAAATCTGACGAAGTATGATGGCCCAGTCTTCTTGAGTTTCTGGATCTTATCTTGTCCATAAGACTACACAAATGTATTTACAACAGTAGACTTAGAATAGTACCACTTGCCTACACTAAGATCAGGTTTGAAAAACCTGTTGAGACTGTATTTGCCATCCGCATTTGTAGCAAAAGTTATGATTTTATTTTAATTTATTTGTTGTAGTCTTTAAGCTCAGTGACTATGTATTCTACACATGAATACATAAAACAATCAGGAAGGAATTTAATGTACATCCTATTTATCCTCTAATTTAAATAAAAAATTTAATTGTTACTGTGGGAAAATATTACAGATTCACTTTTCATTTAAATAAGAATATGCAGTATATTGATTGAGACTATTAGTGTATATAATTCAGCACTGTTGACAGGGACTAAAAATGACCACCCATTGTTTCAGTAGGAGAACTCTCCCAGTGAAATATAAAGATGGCAGAGACTGAATTTGAAACCTTGCCAAATAATTGCTTTTTTGTACCTTGTAACGATACATATAAAATATATTATTTCGAGATCTACAGGGCATCTTCTATATTATGAGTTTCATTTTAACACCATGTATACCAATAGGTAGATTTAGCCAATTCCATATGTTATTCTTGAATGCATCTCAATATTGTTCCTGAACTAGTTAAATGATTTCCATGTCCATAGTAAAAAGCAATTTTTCTACTGTTTTGATTGATTGATTAGATGGGGTAAAAACCTCACCCATCACTTCTATTTTGTTGTGTTAGCTCCAAACAATGGGACTCATGGTAGAGTCTGAGAGAAAATTACCTAATCATGTTGATGTTTATATGTAATATTATATGGATAATTAATATATTAAACATTCATATGAGCCCATTTGCTGGAGATACTGTTGAATACATCCCACAAAGATGAGATGGAACTTATGGTCTTCTGGATCTTGTTGGGGAAAAAAAGGTCCAGCACATTCGGACAGCATAATAGAGAGGAGTTTCCCACCCCATCCACACTTAAAAAAAATATTTTAGTCTGTGTCTAGGCACTTATGTTATGTGAATAACTTATATAAAACGTTACAATACATGTCACAATAAAAAAATTACATATCCATGACTACACACTTCAATAACTGAAGCTAATGTCAAGAATATTTTTACAGAAATTTAGTACATTGATTAAAGATATACACGAGACATGTTCTACCCATTCACAATTTTTCAAGCAAGTCTAAATATATCTTATTCTACATGTCAATATACTTTGCACAAAACTACTTAGCAAAAGAAATTGATGAAAGTATTACATTATCTTTTTTAACTATACAAATTCCTCTGAAAATGTCATACTCTCTATATTTATTTTCTCTTGTGAACATTCTGGCATTCAGAAGTCTCAACTGTATAGTTTCACAAGAGAAGGCATACCTTTTCAAGCGTTTGTAACTAAAATGAGAGGAAAAACCAGTAGGGAAGAACTAACTGCCTGGCTGGCGCTAGGATTTGTCTTCCAGCCAGTCCCTTCTGCCAATTTTTCCACACCTTCTGAACAAATTGCTTGGAAAAAATTGGCCAGGGGATTGGTTCGGTGATGGAACTGAGAGAAGCACTGCAGATCACTGGTTAAGTACAAATAATACTCTCATCAATTTTAATCAGTCAAGAGCCCACAACTCATTTTGCACTGTAATTTACATCACTGCCAGTCTGTATGAGACAGTGAAAGGGAAATATTCTTGAACATATTCACAGATGCCTATTTACTAGCAGGTTGGGAATTAATCGGATTAAGAAGGTAATATTTGCTTGGGAATGGATAGGAAAATAGCCAAGTTGAGGAAGTACTAGTTTCACATTTTTTTCCCCAAGCTGTCTTTTACAGCCAAGAATATTTCACTGAGAAAACACTGAAAAACAATGCTGTGCTTTTCACTGATATGTTTATAGTAAAGAGGCTCCTTCTTCATCTCTCTCTCACACATGCACACATACGTGCATTAATTGCCATGTTCACTCTTTAATTCATCAATAAGTCATCGATAAAGGCATATTGAGAAGCAGAATTCCCCTTTGTTATGTTCCCTAGTGCCTACTTCTCCCTTGCAGCAAAGTGGTGTGACTGAATGTTTTCTACAACATTAACATTCCACATGTATAGAATTGAGAGAGAATGTGAAAGTCTGCTTTGAATGTTAAAGAGAGTGGAGAATTCTCTTGTGTTGTTGCTTTCATTCTCTTCTGTTTGAAATTGTCCAAGACTATTTGCTCATTTGCTACTGCTGAGAGCTAGGTTCTACTTTTACAGGTTGCAAATATTAGAGGACAAGAGACAGAAAGAGAGTGCAAAGATTCAGCTGATTGAAAGCTGCCCCAGCATATTCACGGATTATCTACTAATCTGTACTCTTTTCACTTTCACAGGTGCCAGGATTCTCCTGTCTGAGAACTAAAAGTTATGTAACTTTTCTGCAGAGGCTAAGATGAAGAGTCCAAATCTAGTTCACTCTGTGCTCTGCATAGTTCCTTCCAGACCCCAGGCAAATCCACTCATATTCTTTGCCCTGACACGAGGCTTATCTACATAATAGCCCAAAGTACTGGAAGTGATGCTTCCCCTCTTATCCTGCCTGAAAGGACTGCATGAAGCCAATATATGGTACATTTATTTACACTGAAATGATTTATGCAGTCTGAAATTATTTATGCTCCATGCTGATCATCTTGTGGCTCCAAATGGTCCTTTTTGTGGGACTTTCAGTTGGATTTCTGATCTCTTGGCCCATTGCTCGGCCCACTTGTGACTGCAAGAAGATAGAAACTCCAGTTTCTGCAATCCCATTTTTTCTCTTTTTTAAATAAGATGGTCAACTGTTACAAGCCTTGAAACTAACCAATCAATGGCTTTCTTAAAATAATTGCAAGTATTTAACTCTTGTAATTGGTGTAAATCAGGGAATTCCCTTCCTAAATAGAAAGGGAAGAGGTAGACCCTCGCATTCTGTCTTCATAGTTTATAGTTTCCCCCTCTCCTCCATTATCCATCAGAATTGAACCTCTTTCTTAATCTCCAACACTTCCACCAAAGTTATTCAGTGGTCACATCTCAACCACAGAAATTTTGACAACTACTAGATCAGTGGTGGCGAACCTAGGGCACGGGTGCCAGAGGCGGCACTCAGAGCCCTCTCTATGGGCACGCGCACCATGCCCTGAAGATGGCAACCATCCCTGTTCAACCAGCTGACCGCTAACTTGCCGAGGTCCCACGTGGCCGGATGCATCCCACCATGGCTGGTTTCCCTCCCTCCATCCCATCTTTCCTGGCCTCGCATGCTCTCCTTTTCCCAGGCACGACCCACTGCAGCTCCTCCTCAGCTATCAGCCATCCATCCAGCTCAGAGATGGCTTCTTTGAACTGCTGGCGGCAAGCTGCGGAGCCCCACAGTGTGCCGGTCGAGAGGCCGGCAGGCTGTGGCTGCTGACAGACACCATTGGCCCCCATCCGCTTGCTGGCCTCTGTGTGCAGGGGCCGATGGTGTCAGGCAGCAGCCGCCCCGGCCTTGCCTTGCCATGCGACAATGGTACCCCCGCTCTGCCTCACCTTGCCTCGCCTCACCCTGCAGGACGAGCCTTCTGCCCACCACCCCATCTGCCAGAGACCCCTGGATCTCCCCCAACCCTGCCTGCCTCCCCCAGGCGTCCCTCCCTAAAGCAACATTGAGATGACCATGCCCACCTTGGCCACACCCACCCAGTCTGCCATGACCACAGCCACACCCACCCAGTGGGCCACGCCCACCTGGCACCCAGCGATAAATAAGTGGGTTTTGGGTTGCAGTTTGGGCACTCGGTCTCTAAAAGGTTCGCCACCAATGTACTAGATAATAGCCAAGAGATATAAATGCCATCTAGAGATTGATAGTTTCAATCCATAGTTTCAAGGAATAATTACTTGAATATCAATTGATGGCAGAATGGGAAAGGACAAAACAAAAATAATCTGGCAGCGCATGGAACATTGTGCATGCCAAGTGGGTGGAGCTGCACAAATTTTTTTGGCAAGGCTGGAATTTCCACTGAAGAAACCATCAATCATGGCCCTTAGAATGCTCTGTGTAGTGCAGTACAGCCATTTCTGGGTATCTAAGTGCACACCCTGTGGTGTAGCAAGAATTAGGATGGCATGACTGACTACCAGCTCTGAGAGGGGAGATGGGCCTGACAAAGCAGCTGTGTGGATGCGACTTTTCTCTGAGCTTTTGGATAGGGCAATGGTGGCGAACCTATGGCACGCGTGCCAGAGGCCGCACTCAGAGCCCTCTCTGTGGGCACGCGTGCCATGCCCCAGAGATAGTGAGGGACTGGCCCCCACCACCTTGGCTCCCACCCACCCAGTCTCCCGCCCACCGCAGCCACGCCTACCCGGCACCCAGTGTTAAATAAGTGGGTTTTGGCTTGCAGTTTGGGCACTGGGTCTCTAAAAGGTTCGCCATCACTGGGATAGAGAAATGTAATCTATTCTTCGGCATGAGGAAATAAAGACTTCAAGCAAACAAATGAGCTTGTACTTACATACAATTTCCTAGTTGTACATATGGAGGAAAGTATGAAGTATTGGTTGATTAGTTTAATACTTAATATGTAAGCATTTTAGTATTATATTCATAAAATAGATGTACAATTTCATTAATTAATTTTAAGTACTGTATCTTTAGCATTGTATCATTTGTTTTTATAATGTTTAGTAGTCCGAATCCTTTTATTTACTTTTATTGATCTTTTAGAAAATGTTTATATATTTTATCCGAGCACTGTAACTTCTTACAAAATTTGCATTAAATGCTAATCAATGACTTTAATAAAGATGCTACCGCTAAATACCACTGAGGCACAGAGACAAATACTTTAATTTTAATTATACTAACAATCAATATCTAATATGTTTGGTGCACTATTTTTAATTCTTGGGAAAATGGACAATTAAATTAGATTAGAATTAATTACTAAAACTTATAGTGTAAATATTTTAAAATGTCTCAACCAAAATAATAAATGAAGTTTGGACAGCAGAGTTGGTAATACGGACACATTTCTTTATAATCAGCATAATCGGGAGAAATATTTATTAGCAAACATAATTTTGGTAGTACCATGTATGAGTAATTTCTTTACTAAATTCTCAACCATGTACTGAAACAGATTTAAAGGGAATCCTATACCCAATAGAATTGCAGATGACTAATTAAAATCCTCAATCTTCTTCCCGTATTTTTTCAATAACTGTTTTCTCCAAGCAGAAGAAAAAGATGGCAGAAACTAGCTGGCTGTAGGTTGGTCAAGAAGTTTTAATTCCAAAGCCTCAGGTGTGTATTCAATCAGTTTTAATTATTTTACACTTAATAGTCTTCATGCCCATTTATGTTAACTTGAAGAAAACGTAATGATGACATAATTGCTGAAAAATGCCATTCCACTGCCTCAAGTTCATTTTATGTCAGCTTCCCTATATTTCCTCCAGTCATAAGCTTTCGATCAAAGTGACTTTAAAAGTTCTTCCCTGACTATTACTAAAGTTTTATTAGTGCTATTTATGAAATAATATTTGCATAACGGGGGCATTCCATTAGGAAAATGTACGTGCACAAAATGTTTTAAATTTAGTGTTCCAAATTTGAAAAACTTGAGTCAGAGAGAGTTTCAAATGTGAACCAGGTTCTTCTCCTAGTTATTGTCTATTACCATGATGTCTAGTAGATTGGCCAGTATCTGCCTGTCTGCCTGGATCTGAAAGTCCCACAGGATCTTAGCCCTCTTATTCTCCATGATATTCTGTGGAATTTCCCATCTGGACTTGGGAGCATCTATTCTAGCCCATACACTCTAGATCAGTGGTTCTCAACCTTTTTAATGCTGCGACCCCCAACCGGTTGTAAGTCGAGGACTACTCAACCGGTCGTAAGTCGAGGACTACTCAACTGGGGCAGCACCATTTGCAGAATGGGACTTTTGGCGGGCTCAGCAGGGCAGAGACAGCCTGGACAATTCCTATTGGCTAATTTATTCTAGAGTCTAATTTATTCTATTGGCTTTCAAAAGCCAATAGAATAAAAGCGAGTAGCAAAGCTAAGGAAAAGGGGAAAAAATGGTGGACTGCGTTGTTTGGTGACCCCCGTGAAATGGTCGTTTGACCCCAAATGGGGTCCCGACCCACAGGTTGAGAACCACTGCTCTAGATGCAGATGTTCTGCTACTTGATCATGCTGTTCAGTGTATGCTATTCTTGTCTGGATCTTACATCCTGTCACTATGTGTTGGACTGTTTCTTGGGCCTCTGCACCTCGGGTCCTATATAGTGTGGACGAACCTTTCTTCTATGGACCTGGTGCTTGGTTCTTGTGCTGCTAAGATCAGTGCTTCAGTGCTGCTTTTTAGTCCAGCCCTTTCCTGCCACTAGTAGAAGTTCCCAATGTGGCCACCTCAGCTTTCTGTTAATGGTACATCCCATGTAAGATCTTGTCTTGCCATGGCACTTCTGCTTGATCTTTCTTCCACATCTTCTGCTGTCTCAGGTATCCTCTCCGCAGCTCATCTTTGGGTGACCTCTTACTGATAAACTCCTGGATGCTCTGGGTTTCATTCAGGACAATATATTCACTAAACCTTGCTCCCCTTGTTCCAGTTAATATATCGTTTCTATGTGTTGGACTCAGGGTAGAAACCTCTGTACATATGAGGTGCTTCTGGGTCTTCATATGAGCAGCTTCCATGTCCTCCTTTGGCCAAGTCAATATAAAGCAGGATATATAATGGCTGGCAGAGTACATGTGTTAATGGCATGGATCTTGTTCTTCCCATTGAGCTGGCTCTTTAAGGGCCTGTTTTATACTTTGGTGGTACTTGAAAGTTGCTGTCTTTCTTGCCTCCTCATTGTGATTTCCATGCGACTGTTGGATATCAAGGTACTTGTAAATGATCTGTATGTGGCCCGCTGCTAGTTCCACCTCTTTGGTCTTAACCATTTTCCCTCTCTTGACTACTGTCTGGCTACACTGCTCCAGTCCAAATGACATCACAATGTCTTTGCTGTAGAAGCATATCAGGTGGATCAGTGATTCAATATCTTGTTCACTCTTAGTATAAAATTTGATGTCATTTATGTAGAGGTGGTGGCTGATAGTTCCACTCTTGAAGTGTGTCCATATCCAGTTCCTGTGATTATTTTGCTGGTGGAGTTCATGCCTATGTAGAACAGCAGTGGAGACAGTGCATCACCTTGCTGCATTTGATGGGCACTCATTTGAATTGACTTCCATTATTGCCTTCCATGTTCCCATAAAGTTCCTGAGGGAAGTCCTTAGTCTCCTGTTGATTTTGTACAGCACCAGGCATTCACAGATCCATGTGTGGCATTGAGTCATGTGTTTTCCTGTAGTCAATCCAGGCTGCATTCAGGTTAGTCTCTCTAGACCTATTCTATCCATGACAATCTATCTATCTATCTATCTATCTATCTATCTATCTATCTATCTATCTATCTATCTATCTATCTATCTATCTATCTATCTATCTCGTTGTTCAATCATCTAAAGTTAATGAAAACATGCAGTTTAAAAATAACCAATTGCAAACATTAATAACTGGCATGTTTTCCAGGTTTGTTTGTAGATTGTAAGAACACAATGTGCATAGATAAAAGAAATAAAACCAAATTAAGGGATCTTGTCTAATAGTCATCTGTATCATATACTGCCTGAGTTTCACTAAAAGCAGATACTGCAGCAATTTCAATAAATAGATGGACTATAATTAAGAGGATTAACAGTTTGTGCCTTGTTGTTTCAAGTCCTGTTGTAGACTACTTCAGGGAGACCAAGGACAGGTAGTAGAACCAAGGACTGAAGCAGAAGGTTGAACAAAGCTAACATTTTTTATTTTATTATCTGCCAGTAATTCTGTCACTCAGAGGGATACATGATGCATCACATCATCACCACAACAAGGAGTATCTCATGAATTCTGCCTTTGACAGGTAAGAGTTGAAAGATGAAATGATTAAAATATATGGACAGCCTGCAGTTAGGATAATATATGCAACATATTTTTTTACAAGAGAAGCAGAAGGAGGTCTTAAAAGGGGATGGTCCAATGTCATTAAAATGATGTAGTCAGGATTTACGGAATACCAGAATGCCATTAACAGTATTTTAAAGAATCATCAGCCACATTGTACACTGTAGGAAATTTCATTCTCCTTCCTCCCTTAGTCAAAGAATTGGAAGTACCACCACCAAAGCTTAACCATAGTAGCAATCACAATTGTATACCACCATCCAATGAAAACTGCTTTCTGCACATTACCCAAGCTATGGAATATGGATGTGTATGTCTCTTGCTATATGTGCATATTCTACATGATGACAAAACCAAGTTTTGTTTTAATATTTTCAAATATGCAAGTACAATATTGAAACTGTGTGTTGTTTTCATCAAACCATATATTAAAGTCCCTCAGGTACTGAGTTGCTTCCTATAAAGTAACATGCAATAAAGGAAAGATATTCAAACCTGTGACCAGTTCTCTGATTTCCAAATCTGTAGTCTTTCGGAGTAACCGTACTAGTGCTGGAATACCCCCACAGTTTTTCAAAGCAATTTTGTTGTCATCATTAGCCTTCCCATATACCAAGTTCCTCAGAGCCCCACAGGCACTACGGTGGACTTCTGTCATTCGATGGTCCAATAGATCCACCAGTAATTGTATTCCTCCTTGTCTTCTTATCTGCATCAGCAAAATAAAACCAAAGAAATCAAAACTAATCCTCAGTATGGTTAATGCTCAGTTTTTAGACAGCAGTTAGAAGAGAAAATGCAGCAGCCAGCAAGGAAAGATGCTGGACTGATTTCCTAGAATACCTTTGAAAGCAAAATCTTTTGCAAAAATTCAAGCACTGATCAAAACAGCTGGACAGATTATGAAAAAGTTATTTGGAAAGAAAAGTATCCCTCCCCATGCCATAGATAAAATACTAACAGATTAAGATGTTATTGTCCAGTGTGTGGAGGACTCTGCCAGTTAGAATTTTTATCAAGGACCACTGAATGGCATTCCAGTTTCTAACTGCTTACAGTAATTATATACCAATAAATTAGCTTCTGCAAGGCAATTAATTGCTATGAAAAAGTAAAAAGTCTGTAACATTTTTTTATAAAAAGATGGGTATAGCTCGGACACAACATTAAATTATATTGTATTCTTTGTTTTTGACCTAGCATTTTTGCAAACCTGAATTATTCAACAAAACATTCCTAAAATATTGTGACTTAACATTAATACAAATGCATCCAATATAAACACTGTTTTTTTAAAAAAATGTTTTAGCTATATGCCTATTCAGAATGTGTGGAAATTCCTGGGAGAGCTATACCAGTAAACGAGCATTAGTGAAAACCACAATTAATTGTACTGAAATCCTACATTTACTTATTTGTTTGTTTGTACCCCACCTTTATTATTTTTACAAATATTCAAAGTGGCAAACATACCAACACACCTTCCTCCTCTTCACAGCAACAATCCTGTGAGGTGAATTGGGCTGAGAGAGAATGACTGATCTAAGTCACCCAGCTGGCTTTCATGTCTAAGAAGGGACTAGAATTCACAGACTTCCGCTTTCTAGTCTGATACCGTAACCACTAGATTAAACTGGCTCTCTTGATTTCAATATGCCTGTATTTTCAATATATAGTATACTAAAACAATCGATGATATTAATAATAAATGAGCTATGGGCTGAAAGCTAATTGGAACAACATGAGTTGATCTTGGAAAACATGGAGGGTTGGGACTATCTGTACTTCTGTATTGCAAGATATTCTGTAAAGTAGGATTGGTAATGAAAATACCTGGCTACATAAGGGCAAAATATGCATACTTTGAGGACTTAATTTGGAATTTCTGCAGCAAGCAGGGGACAAGGAGTAATATCGTAGCCACTGTTACCAAATTGTCAGATTTATGTTTCGTCACTATGGTAGCGTGAACAATCAAGAGTTATTTATTTATTTATTTTACAACAGCTTGTTGAAATGAAAGCAAAGCCTATCATTTCCCATTTGTAGAGATTCCTATGCAAATATATCCTTGAGGAAAAGTAAAATAAATAGTATGTAAAAAATCTTATATCCAGATTCATATATAAATATTAAATAACCCATGATCCATTGGGTCATCCTTTCAGAGACATTTCCTTACTTAAATGGATAAACAGAATCAGTATAGGCAAGCAAAAAAGCAGCGGGAGCCAAGACTGACCTCTAACTTCCTGCCAGCTTCTTGTGGGACGCTGGTAGGGAATGTTGGAAATCACCATATGACTGTGGGTGACTCTGACACTGCAGCAACCAAAATGTTGTGAAAATCCTTGGAATTTCAATTAAACAGGAGTGATGGCTCCCAGAATTTGTATGCATTTTTTAAGTTAGCGGAGTTGAAGTATCTTGATTTCAAAATTTTGCACTATGATGGACAAGCCAACTGGGGAGTTTTAGTAGTATAAGTGCTAAATCAACAAATGTCCTAACTAAAAATGAATACTAGGAATCTGTATACTAAACAGTATTAGTATATTTAGTATACTAGTATACTGAATATGCTAAGAAATAGTTATAGAGATCTGAGAGGAAGAGGGAGAGGAAGAGAGAGAGAGGGAGGAAGAGGGCGAGAGAGCGAGAGTCCTAAAGGTAAGAAGGAATTTATGATATTCAGAAAACAAATATCCCACTACTTTTTAAGAATCATTCTTCAATGTACCAGAAACTGATGGTGGAATAATTTTACATTGCCAAGAAGTAAACAAATTACATTCACCTTCTTCTGTCTCCCAACTTCCACCTTTTATTGCTTGTGATAAGTACCAGCCAGGTACTTAACTCATCTTAACTGCCTGAGAATGAATTATAGCCGGGTATGTAAGTGGCTGAGCATGCTACAACCTATTGCTTCCATTAATGTTCAGTTCCTTGCCTTTGAGTGAGCATCAAGGTCACTCATTCCAATTTAAAAAGGGAAATGGATCCTTGTTAATCTTTATATTTAAGAAGGAAAGGGGGGGGGGGTTTGAAAATCTTAATATATATACTGTATATAGCTAAGACAGTCACAGTTGGGCTGCGTACCACTAGATGGCAACAAAGAGACAAAGAAAAAAACTAATTCCACTGCTTAAATTTCCAAAGCAGACCTATGTTAATTGCAATTACTGTATCAACTGAGTTGAATAGGTTTATCATGATTCATCTTTTCATTTGATCATGTGCCATCAAGCTGTTTTCACTCCTAGCAACCACAGAGACAGATTTTCTCCAAAACAATCTATCCCCAATTTGTTCTTTCAGAACTCACAAGGGTGCACTCACTGTAACTGAATGCATCCACTTTCCTGTTTCCTCCCTCCCTCCCTCCCTCTTGCCACCCTGCAATATTATTAGCAAAACTTTTAACAGTGAGGTTGTTCATAGAGAATAACTATGCTTGAAGCCAAGATTCCAATTACACATGACTTATTTACTCCTGTTTTACTTTTTTTCACTGGTGTAAATCCCTAAACTAATCAGAAATGACAAAATGACAGTGCATGTTAAATTACAATCATGTCTCTTCAACTTAATGGGCATTCAACGAGAATTGTATCCAGAGCTTCTTAAGTTTTTTGACCACTCCCTCTTGTCTCAAAGATAATATCTTCCTTAGAGTGAGATACAAAGTGGTTCAGAAAACAGAGCTGAGACTTCTAATCTGTTTAGCATTATATAACATTCAACATTTTACAGTGTTAATTTCCACCAGAATTGTAGGAAAGTGACAGCATTATGCTACATTTCCAAGAAATTGGTAGGGCTGTGCAAAGCCTGCAAACCAGATGTTTTATGGTGCACAGGAGAATGGATGAAGCAGTACAATACATTTCTTTAAAACTTATTTTTCTGTTTGTTATCACTGCAGATTTCATATAGCTAGGCTGAGCACTTTATGAAAGGGAATGGTAATTATTCCCAAATCATTCAGCATTCTGTTTTTTAGTTTACTGGTTTTAAATTACTTTTAACCCAATTAAATGGCCGGTACTTAGAATGATTTAGTAGCTTTTTCTCTTGTTAGATACTTCTTTTTATTTATCTCTCTAATAGGGAAGAGAGCTTGAACAATCTCTGGATGTAAGTCCCAATAAAGCTCTGAAACATTTAGAGATTGATATACTACAGGAGTACAGAGATAACTTGTAAGAAAATATATGAAAGCCATTACAAAAGCATCAGCTCATTCTGGAAAGACAGGAAGGATTGAGAAAGAAAACTCAAGCTTGGTCTGCCTTGTCTATCTTGGGTATAAGAGAAAGGAAAAAATAAATGGTCATACTTTCCAGATTCTGTTATTATAGTGTGTATCTTTCTTACATTAATTTTATTTTCAATCACTTAAACAATCACTTAAATATGAGCCAGCAGTGTGCTGCAGCTGCCAAAAAAGCCAACACAGTGCTAGGCTGCATTAACAGAGGGATAGAATCAAGATCACGTGAAGTATTAATACCACTTTACAATGCCTTGGTAAGGCCACACTTGGAATACTGCATCCAGTTTTGGTCACCACAATGTAAAAAAGATGTTGATACTCTAGAAAGAGTGCAGAGAAGATGATTAGGGGACTGGCGGCTAAAACATATAAAGAATGGTTGCTGGAATTGGGTAGGTCTAGTTTAATGAAGAGAAGGATGAGGGGTGACACGATAGAGTGTTCCAATATCTCAGGGGTTTCCACAAAGAAGAGGGAGTCAAGCTATTCTCCAAAGCACCTGAAGGCATGACAAGAAGCAGTGGATGGAAACTAATCACAGAGAGAAGCAACCTAGAACTAAGGAGAAATTTCCTAACAGTTAGAACAATTAACCAGTGGAACAATCTGCCTCCAAAAGTTGTGAATGTTCCAACACTGGAAGTTTTTAAGAAGAGATTGGACAACCATTTATCTGAAATGGTGTAGGGCTTCCTGCCTGAGCATGGAGTTGGACTAGAAAACCTCCAAGGTCCCTTCCAACTATTATTATTATTACTATTATGGATCATCGCACAGTCAGCCAGATGTTCAGACTGGATTTGGCATTTTGTCTACCTTTCGAGTCCTTACCCAGGACCTGGGATAGGCAGATGTGGATGTTTGATGGTATTACAGATATCGTCGCAGGATGGAAGCAGTTCCTAATGAGGCTGCCATTTGCAATTGACTAATAGCGAATTTGTCAATGCCAATGGTGTTCAAGTGGTGCTCCAGTTGTTTTGGGATTGCGCCCAAGGAGCCTATTACTATTGGTACTACCCTTGCTTGCTTTTGCCACAGTCTTTCTATTTCTATTTGTAGGTCTTTGTATTTTGTTATCTTCTCCAGTTCTTTCTCTTCTATTCTGCTATCTCCAGGCACTGCCACGTCCACTATCCAGACTTTTTTGTCTTTCTTATCGACAATTGTTAAGTCTGGGGTGTTATGTTGCAGGTGCTTGTCTGTTTGAATTCTGAAGTCCCAGAGCAGTTTAATTTTATCATTTTCTATGACTTTCTCTATTTTATGATCCCACCAGTTTTTGCTTACAGGCAAATGATATTTTTTGCAGATCTTCCAATGCACCATTGTTGCTACTTTGTCATGCCACTGCTTGTAATCAGTCTGTGCAATCTTCTTGCAACAGCTTACCAGGTGGTCCACTGTTTCTTCAGCTTCTTTGCATA